TTCTCTGAGACCAAAAAGCATTAGAAAAAACAAAGCCCACTCAATGACTGAAAATAATAAAGTCATCAACATAAGAAAGCAGAACTAGTTTTACATCCATACATATTTATTTATTTAAAAGGCAGAGTTACAGAGAGACGGAGAAGGAGACATAGCATCCATCCACTGGTTCTTCCCAGAAATGACTGCAATAGTCAGGGCTGCGCCAGGCTAAAGTCAGGAGTCAGAAAGATCCCCCCGCCATGTCTCCCACAGGGATTTGTGGGGTGGCCAGTTTCTTCTGCTTTCCCAGCTTCATTGGTGGTGAGCTGGATCAGAAGTGGAACAATCAGGACTTAGACTGGCACTTGTGTGGGGCTGCTGCTGTCTCAGGTGCTGCCTGAACCTGCTGTGCCACAGGCCATCCCGTATCAAGCTTTTTAATTCATTCTTTTAAAATCCCTCTGTATCCCTACTTAAAAATGTATCCTTACATTTTAAAAACCTTTTATTTGTTCTTTTATGAACTCCATTAACTATTTTTTTTAAAGCTCATACATTTTTTAAAAGCTATGAACTTTCCCATGGAAATGCAATATATTTGACTCTAAGAATGAACACGCAAATAAATGGTCTCTTCCAAAATTTAAATAAAAATCTCAGGAGAGATGGGGAGCAGTGTTGTGGCTCGATAGGCTAATCTGCCTGCTAGTACCAGCAACCCATATGGATGCTGGTGTGTTTCCCATCTGCCCCACTTCTCATCCAGCCCTCTGCTCGTGGCCTGGGAAAGCAGAGGAGAATGCCCCAAGTCCTTGGGACCCTGCACCCATATGGAAGACCAGCAGAAAGCTCCTGGTTCCTGGCTTTGCTTCAGCTCAGCTCTAGCCATTGCAGTCACTTGTGGAGTGAACCAGTGAATGGAAGATCTCTCTTTCCTCTTTGTAAATCTACTTTTAAAATAAACATAAATAAATCTTTAAAGAGAATTTAAAAATAAATAGCCTTAACTTGCTATTAAGCTCCCTAGTATGCGTCCTACTGTTCCACCTTAATAATAGGATCCCCGACATTTAATGGGAACATGGTCTCTGAGAATCAGGACTGCATCTCTCAGGCTTTCCTGGGACAAGTGAGTACACTCACACGAGTACACTCTGCTCAGTGGAGTGGGAGCGAATCATGGGCACACAGGCAGCCTGAACCCCGACACTGCAGAGAGCTCAGTGAGCCCTGGAACGCTTCCTCCAGACTGCCACCAGGGGGAGGGAGGAACACTGAGGTCCACATTATTTTAGGTTTTTCTGCAAGTAGTCCTAACTGTTGGGTGGCGTTAGTAAAATGAAATTCTCTGGTTTGATTCAAAGTGCTAAGTCTTAAGTGGGGAAGCCTCAAGGGTTCTGTTTCTATGAGAGAGTCTGAATTTCCAACTCCAAAAAGGAAACAAATTTCTCAATACCCAGTACTCTTTGGATCTTCCTTTATATTTTGCAGTAAAAAATGTGCTTTCCTAACTGTAGACACATTAACCACAGATCAGTTCATAATGGGATTTGCATAAAGCTCTAATAAGAAAGAAAAAGGCAAAAAAAAAATTTTGGTCTTGCTCATGATTTAAAAGATTAAAAATAGATGAGCCTCCATACCTTCGGGTTCATACTTCAGTTTTAACTCATCGACTTTAGCTCTAAGCTTCATATTTTCACTTTCTGAAACCTGGAGGCACCTTTCATTTGCAAAAAGCTTTCGTTCAATATCCAGGGCCCGTTGGCTCTCAAATAGTGCTTTCATTCGCTGTATGGACAATTCACCTTTGGTGCTTTCATTTTCTTTGCTACAATAATAAAAAATGAAAACCAAAGATATTAAAATTACATAAAATAAATACAGATTGTGGAATACAGTTTCAATATATATTATTTCAACCCAGTTAAGAATATACTTTTCTAGAATTTGTAATCATAAAGAAATACTAAATTCTTTTCCAAATTTATTCATGCAGAAATTAAATTCCTTTAAATTTTAAATGTGACATTTATTCTTGAAAAAAAAACTGCATTACTAAGACCATTCTCTATATTAAAGTTCAGTTTACTTCTCAATCAAAAAAAAAACATGAAGAAAATAAAAATACAAAGAAAAAACATTGCATTTAGCAAAAGTTTTTTATGCAATGATCAGTAAGAATTAATTCTTGTGTAAAAGTCATGTATTATGCAAAGATATTTTTATCGCTTTTCCCTTCTGGAATTTTCTTTTGATCATTTCAAAACAAAAATGTGTAGTGAGTGACACTAGCTATGGCAGGCAGTAGTTCATCCACCCACGCAGACACTCACTTTAAGTTATCAAGCTTTAGCTGAAGTAACTCCGTATAATAGGTGTTATCTTCCACAACAACATTGTTAACTGCAGCCTTGGATTCCATACTTTCATATAAGTTCTAAAAAAAGCAGAAATCCTTGTTACTTGAACAATATTAAGTTAGCATACATTTATTAAGAACATTTGCCACCACCTATTAAAAACACAGATTGGGCAGGCAACTAGGCTAAGCAACCATTTAAGTCAGTTACAGTCTCAAGTGTGCATGTGAATCAGCATTCTTACACAGAGAAGACTCTGAATCCAGGCCTGACCCTGAAGCCTGTGCTTCTCGCCATGCCCAGATCCTATGCTTCCCTTTCCAGCTGACAGAATGGCAGACCTAAATGCTCCATTCTCAACTTCACAACCAAGCCATAAAATGAAAAAACCAGAAAAGTGGAAGAGATCCTGAAAGTTGGTTTTATGTCTACTCTGCTGAGATTCTAATGGGAATTCTATATAATATTTTTCTAGAAGGAAAAAAAAATGAAGTCTGCTTAAAAACTCATAAACAATTCCAGAGATGACAGACAGAAAACTCCTTGGTTTAAAGTTAGATTTTGAAAAAGTATATTGCTGAGCTCACTAATGGAACACAGATACCTGCCAGCAGATGTACTGAAGATGCAACCAAAACTGCAGGGTTTTCAACAGTTCTTATAAATGACAGAAAGTAAAGCTACATAAATTAAAATTTTTATGATCTGTGAATGCTGTGATTTAAAATGTCTAAGAGGTAATCAATATTTGCAAAAATCTTTAATTCAGAAACTTAAGTTCATTAAAAGGTTATTGAGAAGAGATCAATGTTCCCTTAAACATTTTTAAACCAAATGCAATTCAAATAAAAGTGCTAGCAAGATTCTTTTTTGTGTTAGACAGTGTTCACAAGGAAAAAAAAAAAACAGAAGAATTTCCAGGAAGATACCAAAAAAGACAAGCTAAGGTCTACCAGACAAAACATACTGCAAAATCTTTATAGTGAAAATAATGGGGTAGTGATGAACAGACAGACTGAATCATCAGAATGAACAAACCTAGAAAGAGATTCAAAATATGTGTGGAAACAGAACACACACTGGGCTCAAAGCACTGGTAGCTCAGCTGAGTTCTTAATCAGTGGTGTTGGTATAACTGGCTAGTTATTTGGGAAAAAATGAAAAAAAAAATTAGATTTCTACTTCAGACCATACACAATAATAAAGTTCAATGGAGATTAGAACTGTAAATTTTAAAAGCCAAACCACACAAGTCCCAGTAGAATATAAAAACAGTTTCTATTAAACTGACACACATGCAAATAAGCCCTTAAAATATGTACTGATAAGAACATGTTCACTCTGAATTTTTTTTTTATTCTGATTTAATCAGAAGAAAGCGGATGAAAACTATACTCAGGTTGCTTTTCTCATCTATCCGACTGGCAAAAAATGAAAAAGATGGTATTCCACTTGTGAGCCTAGAGACACAGGTCCTGACACACTGCACGTGGATTAGAGACACAGGTCCTGACACTCTGCACGTGGACTAGAGACACAGGTCCTGACACACTGCACGTGGACTAGAGACACAGGTCCTGACACACTGCACGTGGACTAGAGACACAGGTCCTGACACACTGCACGTGGACTAGAGACACAGGTCCTGACACACTGCACGTGGACTAGAGACACAGGTCCTGACACTCTGCACGTGGACTAGAGACACAGGTCCTCTGACACACTGCATGTGGACTAGAGACACAGGTCCTAACACACTGCACGTGGACTAGAGACACAGGTCCTCTGACATACTGCATGTGGATTAGACACAGGTCCTGACACACTGCACGTGGACTAGAGACACAGGTCCTGACACTCTGCACATGGACTAGAGACACAGGTCCTGACACTCTGCACGTGGACTAGAGACACAGGTCCTGACACACTGCACGTGGACTAGAGACACAGGTCCTGACACACTGCACGTGGACTAGAGACACAGGTCCTGACACTCTGCACATGGACTAGAGACACAGGTCCTGACACACTGCACGTGGACTAGAGACACAGGTCCTGACACACTGCACGTGGACTAGAGACACAGGTCCTCTGACATACTGCATGTGGATTAGACACAGGTCCTGACACACTGCACGTGGACTAGAGACACAGGTCCTAACACACTGCACGTGGACTAGAGACACAGGTCCTGACACACTGCATGTGGATTAGACACAGGTCCTCTGACACACTGCATGTGGACTAGAGACACAGGTCCTAACACACTGCACGTGGATTAGACACAGGTCCTGACACACTGCATGTGGATTAGACACAGGTCCTGACACTCTGCACGTGGACTAGAGACACAGGTCCTGACACACTGCACGTGGATTAGACACAGGTCCTGACACACTGCACGTGGATTAGACACAGGTCCTGACACACTGCACGTGGACTAGAGACACAGGTCGTGACACTCTGCACATGGACTAGAGACACAGGTCCTCTGACACACTGCATGTGGACTAGACACAGGTCCTAACACACTGCACGTGGACTAGAGACACAGGTCCTAACACACTGCACGTGGACTAGAGACACAGGTCCTCTGACATGCTGCATGTGGATTAGACACAGGTCCTGACACACTGCACGTGGATTAGACACAGGTCCTGACACTCTGCACATGGACTAGAGACACAGGTCCTCTGACACACTGCACGTGGATTAGACACAGGTCCTGACACACTGCACGTGGACTAGAGACACAGGTCCTGACACTCTGCACATGGACTAGAGACACAGGTCCTCTGACACACTGCACGTGGATTAGACACAGGTCCTGACACACTGCACGTAGATTAGACACAGGTCCTGACACTCTGCACGTGGACTAGAGACACAGGTCCTCTGACACACTGCATGTGGATTAGACACAGGTCCTGACACACTGCACGTGGGAATGCACACTGCTGTACACTACGGGCAGGAGCTGGAGGACACCTACTCACACTACTCTGGCATTTACTTTTGGCCCAGCAATCCTGCTGCACAACTCCACCTGGAACCTACAGTGACCACAGTAAGGAAACACATGTGTCTTCAAGACGTGCTTTGCAACACAGTTTGGAATGCAAGATGTTAATGCACAGACACAGGAAACTGGTGAATAAAAAAAAGAAAAACCACAATATGTCCACACAATGCAATCCTTTAAGGATGTAAATCAGAACGAGGGAGATCTCAACAAACCGAAATGATTTGTAGGATACTCTGTAAACAAAATAAAAAGCTGTGGGGAGTGCAAAAGACTACTTTTTGTTCAAAAAGAAAACAAGACGTAAAACATATATACATATAGATATAAAATGAGCTCCTCAGTTTTACAAAAAGCAGCAAAATGAATCAGTTGGAAATGGATGAAACTGGCTAGTTTTTGGAGTATGAAAATGGAGCAGGGGGTAGAAGCAAGGTAACAATACTAAGTTAGGTACTGGGCAGGACCTGGGAACAGGAAAATGCTTTTCATAACTCTGATTTTTAAAGCCAGGCCAGTATTTTGCATACCGAAGTAAATAAATAAGTCCAATAAGGACAGAAGGAGGAAAATGAGATGGGATAGAAATAGAGGCCTACTTGTGTTTCCCATGAATGACACACTGAAACACAAGGGAGAAGGAAAACGAGCCCAGGTGGCTCAAGGAACTTTGGAACGCAGTATTCTGACTATGTACCCCAAGGCAAAATCAGAAAGAACTGCAATGAATCCTGAACTCGGCTTAGCAGATTGTTTCAACATGACGCTCATTCTGTGATTGAGAAAATAAGCAAATACGAGACGGTGATAGTCATGCTTCTTACTGTTAGAAATAAAAACTGCGATGTCAGAGCCAAATTCGAATTAACAACAAAGTTTTAGCATGTGTATACACACCTATATATGTATGCATGCACTCCAGACACACACACACACACACACACACACACACACACACACACACACACACACACAGCACAAGCACTCAGCTGTGTCTGCTGATGGGCTCTGTAGGCGATGGCACTGCAACAGCAGTAAGTACAGCTAAATATCAATCTCCATGAAAAGAAACCAGTGCTCCTTGGAGCAGTGTTAATTCCAGGACTGGAATACCTTAATGAGCCGGACAGTGAGGAAGTACTCAAAAAAGCATGGGTTAGAAAATTCGTAAGTGTTCCTATGAGGCTAATTTGAATACGAGAGTAAATAATGTGATGCATTCTAATATATAGGATAAAACATCAAAGTATCAAAGAGGCTACACTGATATATGGGGTCAATCTCTACTGCAAGGGAAAGTTAATTATATGACAAGAAAGACTGTTTCAGTTAAAAGTAATGATATTCAAATTAAAATTCTGTTGTGTTTTTTCAATGTACACATATACCTTAAACTTCTCCAGACTCCTAATTTCACCTAAAAGGTGTTTTATTTCACCATTCTTCTGCTCCAACATGGCAAACAATCGTTCCTGCTGCTCAAATTCAGCTTGAGAGCCTTTCATCTGTAGCAATGTGGCAATCTGTAACTACAAACAAAAAATCCCCCCAGAAAAAATTAGAGGAAGATTCTGATAACCACATATTTTACCCAATTCACATTTTGAACTGTATCACTTTAAACCTGTTTTAGAAATGAAACTAATTAGTTATTTCTCGCCTAATGATTTGAAAATATATATAAGCAGTACTCTGTTAGAGGAATTTCTGATTAAATATTTTGCAATTTTCATTTTATCTGAAAGACTGAGACAGAGAGAAGTTTTTCTATCTGCTGGTTCACTTTCCAAAGGTTGGTGACAGCTGAGATTGGGACAGATCCAATGCAGGAGCGCAGAATTCATCAATTTCCCACATGAGTGGCAGGGACCCAGAAACTCAGCTATCAGCTGCTGTGTTTCAAAGCAGAATCAGAAATGAAGCCAGCACTCAGACCCACCTGAGAATGGGATGCAGGAATCCCAAGGGACATCTTTACTGCTGTGCCAAATACTCGTCCCACTTTTGAGCACTTATTTTGATTACTTATAAATGATTAGCATATTTTTAGATTTGTGAAACATACAATGGCATGGCTGTGGTCTGGAAGCATGTCACTTAACTGCTAAGCAGGCCTGGCCTGTGCTTCGCACTTCTGAGTCACTGGCTCGTGGATACTCCTAAGAGCCTGGCAGGCTTTCTCAAAAGCTTCATTAACTTTCATTAAGTGGGAGGAATTTCACAAATGCAAGAGATGGATCACTCAGGGAAAAGGCAACTCAAAGATATCCAGGAAATCTTCAGGATACTAAGTCTTCATTTTTTAAGACTCTAGTTACAATTTCAGCTACATCAGGGAGAAATTTAGCCTCCAAAGCTGCTGTTGGAAATTGCTGTGGTTTTGAAAAGTGTCCATTAGTTTCAACAAAGTTTTGAGAAAAGTAAACGAAGTTACAAAGTTACAGGTACAGTTATAAGTATAAGGAAAGTTGTTGACACGTGAAAGAATATTCTCTTTGTTCCTGCTTCAAGATGGAGGCTAGACACCTTTAACCCGGGAAGATTAAGAAAGAATGCTGTTAGTTTCTGATGATCATATGGGGCTTTATGGAATACTGGAAGGTTAAGAGCAGCAGCCTAACAAGTAATGCAAAAATGAACAAACAAAAAACGCACATATAAAAAAATCCCAATAACAAATAGCAGGGGTTGGTGTGTTATGTTGTACTGTGGTGGATAAGGCCATCTGATAACCCACATGGCCACTGATTCAACCTCAATCTGCTCCGCTTCCATTGCAGCTCTGTGCTGCTGGCCTATGAATACAGTGGAAGATGGTCTGAGTGTTTGAACCCTGTACCCACATAGGACACCTCAGGAAGCTCTGGCTTCGTATCTGCCCAGTTCTGGCTGTTGTGACCATTTGAAGAGTGAATCAGCAAATGAAAGATCTGTCTCTCCATGCCTGTCTTTCAAATAAACAAATCTTAAAATAATAACGCAAAAAAACCAGCTAGCAAAGAGCAAATCTGTGGAACTTGATGCAGAAATCATTTCCAGATAAGGGAGTCTGAGTAAGCCAAGCAGCAGAGTCTGGAGATCTTTAGAAATAAAGCCTACAGTTATTGTGTGTTAAGTACTCACTCATGTGCCAAGCACTATATAAAGATTTTCAGACAATTTTAAGCACCCTTATAGTTGACTTTAGTACAGCAAGGAAAAGGGACCTCAAAAAAAAACCCCAAATTTTAGTCTACAACAAACCTTCATGAGAGGACGGTGAAGAGCTAGAAATAAAAACTACCCCATCCCATAAAGAATGATGTGTATCTCCCTGGCATGGCTACTGAGGAAGCATTAAAACAATCAGTAGCTGCTAAACATTCTACTACTAAATCTTCATTCTAAGAGTCGCCCTTTACAAAATGTGGAAGGAAGTTTCAATCAACTTAAATATACTAAGTTTCTTTACCAAGACATGTGGCTCTACGTGATCGTTAAGTACACTTTTTGAAGAAAATGATAGCTTCTTTAACATATGTAGTAGGACAGTTGATTGTGGATATCATTTGTATGAGAACAACTGACTGAATTTCATTTAATGGGAACAACTGATTGGATATACAAAAGAAAGAGAAATATTTTCAGACAAGGGTGTGAAAACAATTGATGGGTTCCATAGACAGACTTATGGGAATTATGTAAGCTCCTCAATACCTCCTCCCTTAGCCTATGTGGCCCTCAGTCTATAAAAGCCTGATGCCACTAATAAACTTTGGCTATTGACCATCAGTCGGTAGTCCATGTGTGTTATTACCTGCTCCGTGCACCAAGTCCATCACTGCAGGACAGTGAACATACCTGTGATGTAACGCTAAAACACAACAGGTTTAATGAAGCACTGAGATGAGAATTCTGTACCTTCATTCTCTGCATCTGTTCTCTATTAAACACATTCTGCTTCTTTAGTGACTGGTACTTGACTTTCATGCTGATCAACTGACGCTCCATGGCTGCCCTTCGATCTTCCACCTAGAAGACAGTGACACAGGGAGTCAGGCCGGACGCAACAACACGCCATGCAGTCCATTTAATCTGTGAAACACATACAAGTACCTCTGCAAATAGGGAGTTGCCTTTACTGTTGGGATCCAAGGCTTGCTGCAGAGCCTGGCTCAGTTGTACCTGAAGATCTTGGTTGTCTACACGAGCTTTCTAGGTTTAAGAGAAACAATTTAGCCAAGACTAGGTGAGCAAGAAAACAACTTAAAAATTGGAGACTGCGTCACCGCAGTCAGAATACCTCTAAGGCATTATAGTAAGAAACCGCTTCTTTCTCTCGCTCTTCCTTTTCTTCTTTCAGCCGGTCCACCTGCCGCATTAGATTAGCAGTAAGGCGTTGTAGCTGTTCTTCCCGGTACCGGAGCTCATTCGCTTCTTCTTCGAGGGCAGTCTACTCATCAGAAAGGGAAAAAGAAAAAAAATCTTTAAATAACCTTCAATTTAACAGTTGCTCAGTTTATCAGTGATCATTACGTTGACTAAAGAACTAGTCAAACATTGTAAAATCCACATTCACATCCATGTGAGCTGCCACTGCACCAACATATTTTAATCTGCTTTATATGACACAAACTAGGGTCAGACTAAATGTCTCTGAAGTTTCCAGGAAGTTTCATTAACCCAAGGATAGACCCTACGCTGTACTATGAATGAAGTAATTCACCTAAAAGCTATACAAAACATTCTGTGGCCAGACAGTTCAGAAAATAGTTTGGCTTTTCAACTATCTTCTAAGAATTATTGCAAAAACATGCAAAAAAAAAATGAAAACAACAAAGGGCCCCAAACAGAATCCATATCCTAAAGCTTACCTTCGCACTTTCCATTTCCGTCAGCTCCATCTGAAGAGCCAGCATCTCTGAAGACATGCTTTCCTGTACACGTTCAGACATGACCCGGATTTCTTCTGATTTACAAGACAGGAGTTCCTTCTGGTGATCGACTTTGTGTTTCAGCTGCTTTTCGCTAAGCCTTGCTTCATCTAATTCTGTTTTCAGTTTTTCTAACTAAAGCAATAATAATAATAATAATAATAATAACCACACACACACACACACAAAACATAACAACTGTATAATTCAAAAAGCCTTTTTTTTCCCCTTTGCCCTGAGAAATGTCACTGACCGACCCAACTGAGTCTTTGGGAAGACTCAGGGTTTCGTATTTGGCCAAGGCTAAGAAGGGAAGGAAAGATATCAAATACGTGATTTGAGAACTTCGGTGAGGTCAGAAAGATTTGACTGATTTAAACTTTGCTCGCTATATGGCCTAGCCCTATGTCCCTGAGTTTTCCTTGAAATACTCTTTTTGTTTGTTTGTTTAGGTAATTAAATGCTAGATGAAAATAACATCCAGGGAACAAACAAAAGGAATCGACAGTCACCAATCGTGTATGTCTCAACTTAGCGTGGCCTGACATGCTGTGCCACTCTGTCCAGTGGCATGCAGGGTAGCTACACAAGGGCAATGTTACGATACTTCTGTTCGTTTCACTACAGATGAGGGGAAGCTCAACCACCAAAAATACATAATTTCACTGATGTCATTAACTAAAGGGAGAAAGCGTTTTAAAAGAATTCATTTAGCGAAGAATTAAGTAACAGTCTGGGTAGCACATACGGACATAGGAAAAAAGTCGCAGAAGATACTACCCAAAAAACTGAAAAGTAACAAAGAGACTTATGAGAAAACAGGACAAAAGGTGGGTAGACAGGGTTCTGGAAGAATAAGAATATGGACACTACACAGGATAGTCACGACCTAAGCCGTGAAATCTTGAAGTAATCC